TACTAGCTTCTTGTTACTACTAGTAAGGCACCTGTTACTACTAGCGAGGCACTTGTTTCTACTAGCTTCTTGATTGACCGTCCATGGATCTCTGGATTTTTGGCGAAAACCACCGCCGTCACCGCCCCAGACTCTAGAGCTCCACAGAAGTTATGTGTACCGGAAGGTCTTTTTGGCACTAAATCCTTGGGACGAATGACACTAGGAACAAGTGCATCGCTTCTAGTAACAAGTGCCTTACTAGTAGTAACAAGAAGCTATTAGAAACAAGGGCATCGCTACTAGGAACAAAAAGAAGCTTACCTTCCCACTCCTTTCCATGTGGGGCCCCCACGTGTCAGATGACCGGGTCTTGGGGTGATGTGATGCTTTTCACAGGCTTGTGGCCCCAAACCATCGGTGGCTGCAAGGTATCTCCAGGCGCGGTGCGATTAGCATCGACACCGACACCAAAGAGAAAAAGACTCAACATGACAGATTCCGACCAGATGTTCTTTTCTTCCGTTCGTCTTGGACAGTTCTGTGCCATTTGTAGCAAGACACCCCAACTCGGATTTTCGACTCCGCGGTATTTGGCTCACAAGGCATGAACGATGTAGCCGGCTATTCCAACGCAAAAGGAACCTAGGTGCAATGGCCTCCAACCTACTAGCGATGGCCTCCAGCCTGGCTAGTGTTTTGGACATGCACGGAAGGAGAATTGGAGCTCATCCTGCAAGCACACCTCAACCCTAGCTGGTAAGCTTCGCCGACAAAGATATAGCTAGGGCCAGATTCTGTGGTAGAAGCAAGACCAATGATTTTTTTACTTAAGAGGTTGGTTTCAGCCCTCAGCCTTCTTCATGATCTTCAACTTAGAACGGCTTGACCATTCATTTCATCAGCAGCTTGACGTTCCTTGCTACACGCAGCAATGGGGCAAGAGGACAAGCCGGATAAGAAAAGCAAAAAGGAGAAGGAGGGCAAGGAGGAGGAAAAGAAGAGCAAAAAGGATAAAAAGGATAAGGACGAAGAAAAAAAAAGCAGAAAGGAGAAAGAGGAGAAGGAGGAGGACAAGAAGGAGAAAAAGGAAAAGAAGGAGCGATCCAGGTCAAGAACGATCTTGTGGGACGATCACCCCCTGGATCTTCGGGGCCTCGATGTGTTTGAGTCAATATTATATATATATATTGTTTCAAATAGCTTCTTGTTACTACTAGTAAGGCACTTGTTACTA